AGTGAATAACTTAAATGCATTGAACAGTCCTAGTAGTGGTGACAGTAGTGATCGTTTCCTTCTTGAAGCTGGAAGCGTTACCATTCCAATGGAGGTTCTTCGCCAGGTTACGAATAATTTCAGTGAGAAAAACATACTGGGCAGAGGTGGTTTTGGTGTTGTGTATGCTGGCGAATTACACGATGGTACAAAGACTGCGGTTAAGAGGATGGAATGTGCAGCAATGGGTAATAAAGGATTGAACGAGTTTCAAGCCGAGATAGCTGTACTCACTAAGGTCAGGCATAGACACTTGGTTGCTCTATTGGGTTACTGTGTAAACGGGAACGAGAGATTGCTTGTCTACGAGTACATGCCACAGGGAAACCTTGGACAGCATTTGTTTGAGTATGGAGAACTCGGTTACTCTCCTCTAACATGGAACCAGAGAGTGAGCATTGCGCTAGACGTGGCACGAGGTGTAGAATATCTCCATAGCTTGGCTCAGCAGAGCTTCATCCACAGAGATTTAAAACCCTCTAATATCCTTCTTGGAGATGACATGAGGGCAAAGGTTGCTGATTTTGGATTGGTTAAGAATGCACCTGATGGGAAATACTCTGTTGAGACGAGATTAGCAGGCACATTCGGTTATCTAGCACCAGAATACGCCGGTAAGTTCATTCTTCCTATGTCTACTCATGTTAATTTCACAATGTGCCTAGTCTAAGGGTTTAAACATCCTGCCATTACGTGTTTCATGTTATTTGTTCCTATATAATAAGTTCACTGGATGGTTGATCTTGATTCTGTTAGTTGTAAAAGAAGTCGTTGTTTTCTGAGATTTTTGATGTTATAATATATGGTTGCAGCCACTGGAAGAGTGACGACGAAGGTGGATGTGTATGCATTTGGAGTGGTTCTTATGGAAATGATAACAGGAAGAAAAGCATTAGACGATAGTTTACCAGACGAGAGATCACATCTAGTCACATGGTTCAGAAGAATGCTAATCAACAAAGAAAACATCCCAAAGGCGCTCGACCAAACCTTAGAACAGGACGAGGAAACATTGGATAGCATTTACAGGGTTGCAGAGCTTGCAGGACATTGCACGGCACGCGAGCCTCAACAAAGACCAGATATGGGACACGCGGTAAACGTGCTTGGCCCGCTCGTAGAGAAGTGGAAACCGTCGTGCCAAGAAGAAGAAGAGAGCTTCGGGATCGATGTGAACATGAGTTTACCTCAAGCTCTACAAAGATGGCAAAACGAAGGAGCATCGTCGTCAATGTTCCATGGAGACTTCTCTTACTCACAGACACAGTCTAGCATTCCTCCAAAACCTTCTGGTTTTCCTAATACTTTTGATTCAACTGATGGTCGGTGACACCAAAACTCTGTGTTCCAAATCGTTGTTACTAAG